AGTAATTCCTATATCTGTGTAAAGTCTCCATCATGTTGCATTTTGACACATATTATATAAAATAAATACAATCCCCAGACTTCTTGTTAGTGACGCATTGTGACCCAATTTTGTATCCTGCAGCTCTACTTTGGTTGAAAGAAAATAGGTATGAACAAAAAGAAGCTACCCACTGTGTTCTCTTTAGAACTAGTGTTACCAATTTAATGACCTTATCGTGATTCTCATAACACACAACTATCATTGTCACAAAGTTACACTCTCTCCACTATGAAAAAACGAGTGCATTGTTAAGCTCTTTATAATGATGATCATCAGTACAGCACAAGGAGCACAGCAGGATCAGTGGGTCTTTATTGTTTACATTTTCCAAAGGACAAAAATTTAGGGTTTATTCGTACTTAGGGTTATGTGGTATCTGTCTTCAGAATGCAGTGATCTATAAATTCTATCACTCTCATGCAGGATTTTCATTAGCATTATTTTCTAAATGGTGCCATTTACATATTCTGTTTCTAATACAGTACCACCTCATTAATTCTAAAAAAAGATGGTCAACATTTAAATTTGCATTTCAGCAGCAACATTGTAAATTCCGCTCTTGAAAGCCAAGCGATCATGCTTTCTTGAAAGCACACAAAACACTTTGTCGTGCAGTTGTTCATTATTATGAGATGACTTAAAGATAAAAGAAAAAGAAAAGATATGCAGATTCCGCTAGCCAGTGGGAGCTGATACCATCACCATCTGTTTTACTGCTAGGTTAGTGTTCTCTAAAATCAACTCAGCTTAGCTATATCCAGCTATTCCTCACTGAGCTAGGGGGGACTGGCTTGGGAGAGGTATAACAAAGTCCACGTAGGTAGGAATATTGCCAGGGGCGGACTGACCACTCGGGCACTTCGGTCATGGACCGAGGGCCCGAGGCAGTCAGGGGCCCGGCAGCACAGCCATGCTCCAGCTGGAGAGATCAAAGATCTCTCCAACTGGAACAGCAAAATTAAAAAAAATAAAACTATTTAATTGATAGGTTGTGGGGCCCCTGATGCAGCTTGGGGCCCCACAACCTACCGCCCTGTAAGTCCCCCCCCCATGGAGACCTGGCAGCTTTACCTCCTCTCCCTCTCTGCCAGGTCTCCTTCTCCCTGTCCCGCGGTGCTCTGTGTGATGGGAGAGGCGGGGCCAGGAAGTGACATCACTTCCTGTACTCGCCTCTCACACACAGAGCCCAGCGAGGGGAAGGAGCAGCAGCCAGGGAGATCAGAGTAAGCACAGGTAGGCTCTAATCACCCCCTCCCTAGTCACCCCCCACACTGTCACTAGTCACCCCCCCTGTCCCTAGTCACCCCCCCACTGTTACTAGTCACCCCCCTGTCCCTAGTCACCCCCCCACTGTCACTAGTCACCCCCTGTCCACTAGTCACCCCCCCACTGTT